TGAGCCTCCATCACTTCGTCTATCCACAGCCCCACCTGGGAGCTACTGTGGCCACCATACCATTTCCAGTGTGGCACATAAAGCTGAACCCTTGTTTCCTAAGTCACTCCTCAGCACAACACAGGAACAGGGGACCCCAAAAGAACAACACCTGTCCTTTGCTCCTGCCTTGTTGAGGGGCTAGTGCTGGTGAGTACAGCTGAAGAAACTGCAGCACCCACCCATACCCACTACCACAGGTCCAGAGGACACAGCCAGCAAGGCCTGGGCAGATTTACATGGAAGATATTGTCCTCTCACCCTCTCCTCAGAAAGGGAACTGCCAACAGTACTTGGTTACATAAGAGAAAGAAACACAGGCAGCACTAAGGTCCCTGTCCTGGCTTCCCCAAGTTGAGCCCAGTGATGAGGGCCTTCAGTGGTCCCACACATCTGAGACCTGAAGAAGGTAGACCTTTAGCCCCACACCCAGCACTGAGTTGGAGCTGGGAAATCTGGATTCCAGGAGTTTCCCTACAATCTAACTGCCCAGATCAAAGCCCTCACTGGGACCACTGAGAATGCCTCCCACCTGGTGCCCAGGCCCCACCGTGTCTGGGCACCCTCTGTCTTCCATTGTTCATGCTGGCCCCAAGGCTGCCTTCATGGGCTTATTCCCTTCCCCACCCCTCCAATGTGCCTGTTCCCCTCCATCTGCTCTCCTGGGCAAGCTCCCCCGCTCTGGAGGCACTGGCTGTGCACACACATCCAGCTCCCTCCTGCCCAGAGCCCAGAACCCTGGGCCCATCTGCCTCCCAGCCAGTTCTGCTCGGAGACCCACAGACAGCCCAGCCTCAGCATGGCCAACCCATCCCACTCCCATATTCCCTGCTCTGAGAATGGCATCACCACCACCCCAGCTCCGAGCTAGAATTAGGAGTCATCCAATGCACAGTCATCCTCGACACCTCCCTCTCACCCCCACATGGAGTTGGTCATCAACTCCTGTGGATGTCATCTTCAGAAAGGATCTGTGGCACTCCCTCCTGCTGGCCCCCATGGGCAGCATCAGGAGGCAGGACCTAGGAACATTCCCATTCCAACAGTTGCTCCTGGGAGGCTTCCCTGTCCCTTCACTCCCCCTTCCCCCATCCTCCACCCCACTATGGCCAGAGGGCCCTTTCTGAAATAGTCTGGGCATGGCCCGCAATCCATCCATAGCTTCCTGATGCTCTCAGATAATGACTGACACCTGCAGATAGTCTATGATGTCTTGCCTGCCCCAGCATCACCTTATTTCCTTCCACATGTCCACTGTGACCACCATTGCCTGTCCCCCCTCCCACAGCCCATGCTAATCAGCTTCTGTTTTATCCTTCCCCTGGCCACCACTGCTTGCCCCTCTTATGCAGAGCCTCTCTTCCTAGCCCACCTCCTCTGAGAAACTTCTCTTCCTTGCTCCTTCATTGGTATGTGGTAACCCCCAACCCCCTCCCAGTTTCCATGGTGCTATGCTTGTCTTTCTGGAATCCATTTGCTTTTCACTCTGACTCCTCCCCTAGACTTTGAGCTTCTCAAGGGCAGCCGGCTGATCCCATCCATCACTGTATCACTGTGCACCCAGCCTGAGCATGAGGAGCTGGCCAATGTGAACATACATAGACACCGAATGAAAATCAGCAGGAGCCTCTAATGGCCACTGTGTCCCCAGTTCCTAATCTAGGATGCCTGGGTCACCTCCCCCAGGAAGCTTCTGCTGCCTGCTTCTCCTCAGGCTTCCATCCTACCTGCTGCCCTCAGCTCAGTGGGGGCTCAGGGTAGCCTGGGTGCCACAATGGGGAAGCCTCAGCACCCGCCCCCAGGAAGGGTATGCTCTGTGGGGAATGGACCTGGTAGGCCAAGGCCCTGGGCCATGGTCCTCTGCCCCAGCGGTGAGCAGCCTCTCAGATTTTAATGCAGGCCTCCATGCTTCAGTGAAAGCCGGCATGGGGAGCTGCTAATAATGGCACTAAAATAAAATATGCTACATCTGTTATGGGTAGCAGAACAAAATTAGCTGCTCACACCTCTGACATCCAAGATGTCTTAACTTAAAATACTCCTTGGCTTACTTTACATCATTTACTGATTATATTTAAAAGAAATACAATTTTGCAATTACTGTTCTTTCCAGTGTGATATCTATGCATCATTTTCCTTTTATGTTTATATATTTCTCCTTCATTAGTGCAGTCTGAAGGGTGATTAGGATTCTTCAAACATTTTACAGAGGTTAAACGTTGATTAAGATTTAATTATTACTGTAAATAGCTTGGAATGACATATGGTGCAAAAGCCTGACATATGTGCATTTGAATAAATGAAGTGCTATTTCCCAGGATGCCTCGGTAGCTGTTTAACAGCTTTCCCGAAGGGTTATGTTACACCTCATGGTAAGATTGCTGGGATGTTATATTTTGTTGGTTTTTGCAGCTGAAAGCTAAGAACAGTTTTCCAGTTTTTTAAAAACATTGAATATTTTAAATACCTAAATTGTTTTGCACAAATTTTTGCTAATTTGTCTAACTAGGTTAAACATTTTCAAAAGCATTTAGATTTTTAAGCGTGGGCGCTGTGTATTGTGTCAGTGGCAGTATGGGGACAAGGAGGGCTGGTGGGGTGGAGGGGACTCAGGGTGGAGGGGTGGCAGGGGTGGGGAAGGAGAGGGTGGTTTGAGGAGAGGGGTCCTGGGTTCTGAGCCTAGCTTCTGTCTAATTGGCCATCTCAAGTAGACACAGCCAGGGTATTGGGGTGTCAAGGCTGACATGGCAAGGATCCCTCATCTCCAGGGTCTCTTCTATGCCCACCAGCTCCAATCCTCACCAAATTCCCTCTTGCCTGGACCTTAACCTATATAGCCTGGGGTTGACTGAGTGAACTCCCTTGTCCCCCTAGTGTGCTGCTCCTTCTGCCCACATCTTAAGGCCACCATGGCTTTCCATACAGGGCGCCCTGGGATTAAGTTCAGTTGAGCTATGAAGCAAAGGCTTGGTGATACCTTGACCCTGCCTGGGGCACATACCAGGCCAGGACCTCTTCTAGGGGAGCACCTCCCTTGATGGTCCCCCTCAGACTTGGAGTCAAGTTTCCCCTCTGGCTCAGCCTGGAGCTGAAGGCCAACATCTGGACTGCTTTGGTATCCAGAAGGACTCTAATGTATATTTCCTATTTTCCACACATTAATTCAACCCTTAGTGACTCCAGAACTAGACTAGGCCTTAAGGACATGCGGGTCAATAAGACCCACACATCTGTTGCCTCAGGGGCTTGTGATCTGATGTGGAAAAGTGAGGGATAAGTAATCAGTCAGCTCCCCCCAACATTATGATGTCAGGGGTATAATAAGTGCAGGAATTTCAGGTCAGAGAGGTGGCCTTATCCTACTTGAATGAGTAAAGATGTCTACAGCTGGGCCTAGAAAGCTGAATACAGAAAAATGGGATGGAGGCAGGAATGGGGGTAGGAGGATACCTCTTACAGACAGAACAGCTCAGGCAGAGTCTTGGGGTAAGGCAATGGGGATGTAGGGCTTGGTTGCAGGCCTCTAAACCATTTTCTAGTGAGGAGAGGAGCAGTCGGGCCTGAGATCAGAAGCCAATCACTGCTGTGGTGGTCTGAAGTGGATGAGTCTTCAAGGGACGTGAAGTGACTCTTTGTTTAGACAGCTATTGGATAAGGATGTCATTGCCCGAGACATGGAGCTAGGCTGAGGGGGGAGGTGTCGAGATGGGCTCCACTTCAAAAGGGTTGGGTTCATGTATCCCTGAGGCAGACAGTCAGCTATTGGACTGAGGCTCATGGAGAACCACAGCTGGCTACGCCTCAGATGTAACAGCCACTCCTGGTGTCCATCCAGACTGACCCCCAAGGGCCTCAAGAAAGCATCTGGGGAGTGTTATGAAAGGAGGCATGACAGTGACCTTGGAGAGAGAGGTTTTTGTGGAGAGTGATGGGAACAGAAGCCAGATTTGCTGTGGGCTGAAGCCAGTGGCAGGTGGATACAACCAGGTAGACAATTTAAAGAAATGTGGTTGCTGGGGAAGAGATAGAGGCAGGCTGTAAAAGGGCCTTCCATGGAATGGAGGGAGGTTTCCTCAGATGCAATGCCTTGTGGTATGAGGAAACACTTGTGGATAGGAGTATGTGGATGATGAAGTTGGAAGAGGACACCCAGGAGGGAGCTGAGCAGGAGCAGGAGGAAGGCAGAGCCAGGTAGGTTTAAGATTTCTAAAATTGAGAGAGGTGGGAGGTAGGTGCAGAGGCCAGGTGTGGACACTGGTAGGCTGTGGGTTTGATGGTGGGAATCTAAGTAGTTCTCCACTGATACCCTCTGAAGTAAGAAGGCACACCAGCTCAGGAGTGGGGAGCTGAGGGTGGAGCAGATGAGGGGGCTTCAAAGATTAAAGGTAGCCTCTGTGGAGGATGGGAGGTGGAGCTGGCCAGGCAGTAGTGCTGTTGTCAGGTGCCCTGAGGTTCTAGCTGAAATCAGAGACTGTGAATTTTAAAGGTCTCCATGAGGTGGTCAAGTTCAAGAGTAAAGATTGTGGGTACATGCAAGGGGACCTCTGAAGCAGTTGGGGCTGGGAGTAATGCAATGATGGTTTTTGAGGTCCAGGTTAGAGAGGTGAGTGTGAAGACAGAAATGGAGAGTCAAACCTTTGGTATCATTGATCTAAAAACTGAAGGGAATAATGAGCAGGGTACTGGCAGAGTGGGGTCTCAGGGGTGTCTGCAATGTGGGCAACAAGGACATTTGTAGTGAGGCCTCAGTGGGACACTCACTCACATTGAGAAGAGCCTAGCTCTGGGCCAGAAGGGTTTTGTGAGACCAGGGTAGCAGGGTGGTAGAGAAGGAAACATTCCCTAGACAGGACATGCAGAGGGGCAGAACTGTGGGTACTGGAGCAGTCCTTAGTGCTACTGAAACCTGTTCTCCTGACCCTTCCCACCCTCTGCATTCCTCTTTCTTTTTCTCTCTTCAGATTGAAACCTCCCAGTTGGAGCCTGAGATCGCCCGGGCCACAAGCAGCCGGACAGTGGTGTACAATAAAGGGCTGTGAGTGGAGGCCAGCCAGCCTGGGGTCGCAGCACTGTCCAGGCCAGGCTTTTGGGGTGGGGAAGGAGTCTTATGAGCTACCCGCACATGGAGGGAGACTAACCATTCACATTTTAACATAGGGGAGTTGAATTCTGACATATTTCCTACACAGAAGAATCAAATGCATCTCTGGGCCTTATGTGGAGTTGTCTGAACTCCACTCAGCACAATTACGTGTGAAGCTGAAGAACTGTAGAGTGCTCCTGTAGTAGAATTAGGATCCTTTTATATGTTGCTTTTTTTATTTTAATTTTTTATTCAAGCAAGTCTGAGCCTTGGCTGCAGCTGGCCAGAAGCAGCAGGTGGACAGGTGGTAGGAGCCTGGGAACTGGGTTGGATTGATGGCTAGGAAATTCCAGTGGGCAGGCCAGATGGCCCCCTGGGCTAGAGAGGGGAAGAAGAGGCAGTCTACTCCACAGGATGAACTAGCCATGATCAAGTTTCCCAGGAATTGGCCCAGAGAGTCAAGGAGCACTGGAGGCTTCTGGAAGATTCTGAGGACAGTGGACTCTGAACATAGCCAGCTCCCATCTACGCCATAACTGAGTGAAGTGCAGTGACCCTGGGCTGCACTTTCATGGAGTTCTTACTAAGTCCAGGCTCCTGGGAGCACCCTAGCTCTAGGCAGGGAGCCCCAAGAAGGAATAATGTTTGTTGGGAATAGGAGCCTATGCTGGGCTCTTCAAGAAGATCCTTTTCCAGGAGTAGGCTGGAGTCACACACTGGGGCAGAGTGTGAGCTGGAGCCAGGCCTGCTACTGTCCAGTCTGCAGCCACTGAAGCTGCCGTTGCATCCCATGCCTTCCTGCATAGGGGAATCTCCTGTCTCAGGGTGCAAGGCCAGATTCCTGGAACCTACCTGAGAGGCAACATTGACCCAGCTCTGACACTAACAGGCTCTGTGGCCATGGACAAGCTTCTGTGAGCCTTAATTCCTTGCCTGGAAGCGGAGGACTGGATCATAGGTTCCTACCACACCTCTGACTCATCTCTGCCTATCCTAATCAGATGCTGTTCATGCCAGGCATATCCCCAAGGTGGATGATGAATTGGAAATGGGGCAGGCCCCTCTGGGAATGGCCAGCACTTGGCCTCAGAAAGGATCTTGCCATTCTATATGTGACCCCACATCATGAAAGTTCTTGACCTGTGCCAAGCCCTTCATGATTACAGAAGAGGAGGTAGCATGGATGTCTGGGCTGAGCGTGGGGCCACACCAAATGCCACCTTTCACCTCCTGCAGGCTCAGAGGCCCCTGCTGCTCACTTCTGACTGCATCTCATTTGCAGACCAGAGAGGAGGAGAGCTCTACCAAGGGAGGCTGGGTTGGGGTGATCAGGGGGATTCCTGGTCTGAAAGGCCCACAGGAAAGGAATGTACTGTCTCCATCATTCCCCCACCCAACCCCCACAAGATGTGATCCTGGAATCTTCGGTGACTCAGGAGGGGATCTGGCTGAAGGTGGACACGTAAAATTGCAAAAAATGGCTGACACAGGGCAGTAAGGCCACAGATAGCCTGCCTGCATTTTAAAGCAGATATAGCTGCAATGAGGTGGGTCTGCTGTGGGCATTGGCACCATGGTCTCCATCCCTGGACTGGGGGCCAAGCCTGTCTGGAGCCACTTTTGAATATTTTGAATAGTCCATTTCTAGCCTACCCTGTCCCCCCTGTCACAGGGCCTTGTCTTTACATACTTTATCTTGGGACCAAAACTACCCCTACCCCTGCCCCCACCTCCAGAGGCCCAGCAGACCTAGGGCTCTTCCAGCTTTCCCTCTGCTGGCTATTGCAACCCAACCTCACTCCTGTGACCTCAGCATCTAATCACTTATTTGCTTTGTGTGAGGGTGACTTCCATAATACCCCAAAGACAAATCTAGGCGAGCTGAAGGAGCAGCTCCTTTGGAGAGGGGTGGCAAAAGATCCTTACAATTCAGGGTGATGGTGATCCAAGGCCTTGGGCCATGCTGCTAAAACCCTATCCTGACTTCAGAAAACCCCATAAGGGAAGCTTTCTGTGAAGCTTACCCCTGTCTGCTAAGGCCAGAGGAGAGGTGGCGGGTAGGGGCAGATTGGCTCATGCTTGGGAAGGAAGTGAGTTGAGTCTTGCTTTGCCAGAATACAGTAAATATCTGCAACAGGCTTCCAGTTCTGGAGTTTCTGGCCAACTTTCCTCTGGTTACTTTAAACATTCCCTCAGGCTCCCAGGATGCTCTTCTTCCATTTCCAGAAAGCAACTGGAGAGTGCAGGAGCCAAAAGTCCAAGATGTCAAGATGGCTACCAAGCCAAGATGGCCAATACACCCCTTTTCACTTCCTGGTTGTGAGCCAGCTGGCTTCTGTTTGAAGCCTCTGCTCTGGAGAAAGGTGGGACCCTGAGGAGGAGAAGAATCAGTTAAAGGGAGGTCCAAGGTGGGCTTCCATCCTTGGGCAGGTATGAATAAACCCCCAACACACATGCCTCAGTGTATCTAGGGCTTCGTGGTGTCTTTTTAACCTCAGAAAACTTCTCAATTTATGTGATTTATGTAATACTAGTGAGCTGTGGGCAATAAACATGGATTTAAAGCACATGGGTGTGGCTTTGTGGATTATAGGCGGTGAGAAAGGTGGAATAAGCACAGAAAGAGCGAGTAAAAGCAGCCTGGGGACTTTGTAAGACTACTTCAAAGGGAGGTGCAGGCCCAGGGTTAGGAAAGGGGACAGGAAAGGATGGATATTGTATGAGCACCAGGAAGCTGGGCACAAAAGGTGGAAACCACAGAAGAGGGCCAGCAGGATGGCTCAGTGAGTAAAGGTGCTTGTCACCAAGCCTGATGACCTGAGGTTGCTCTGCAGAACCCATGGTAGAAGGAGAGAACTGATTTCTGAAATATCCTCTGACTGCTACATATACACTGTGATATCCAAGTACATACACACACACATACATTACACATTTATACATACATTACATACATATACATATCACACATGTATCACATTCACATACATCACATGTCATATACATATACCTCTCTCTGACACACACACACACACACACACACACACACACACACATAAGAAAAAAAGTATGAAACAGCAGAAACACCCCAATGACTGAGTGCTCATGAACAGAGTCACCTCAAGGAACCTAAAGACATGAGGATTTCAGTAGATTCCCGTGCTATGAGGAAGGAGGAGGGGACCACCCTGGCCTGCCTGTGGCCTGGAAATCTTTCAACAACTAGCCAAGTACAGAGATGCTGATGTCTTCTGTGTGCATGGCCCCAGCCCCAGGAATCTCTGTTCCTCCTGACTCCCTCATAGTCCCTCAGGGCAAGGACTAGGTCACCTCTACTTCTGATAGACCTGGCTTCTCCTCCAGGCTGCCCCCTAGAAGTCCCCAGGAGGGCCTGTTGTCTGGGATAGCTGAGCATCTTCCAGCCCTGCAGAGAAAAGCTGAGAGGCGTAGAAAGCATACAGTAGGCAAATGCTGGCTCAGTCCCAATATGGCCAGTGGTACTTGGTTTGCATGTATATATGTGTGTGTGTGTATATATAAGTTCATGCTTGTGTATGTGGATGTGTGAGTAGAAGCCAGAGGTTAATCTCAGCTGTTGTTCCTCAGGAGTCATCTACCTTGTTTTTTGAGAGTCTCACTGGCTTGAGGCTCACCAAGTTGGCTAGAATGGCTGATGAGGTAACCCCAGGGATCCACCCATCTTTGCACCCCACTCCTACCCCACCCCAGTGCTGGGATTATAAGTGTGAGCTACCACATTTGACTTTTTTTTTTTTTAAGATTTATCTTTATTTTATGTGTATTCATGTCTTGCCTGCATGTGTGTAAGTGTACCACATGAATGCCTGGTGCCTAAGGGGCCAGAAGAGGGTGTTGGATCCTCTGGAACTGGAGTTATAGCTGGTTGTAAACCACCATGTGGGTGTTGGGAACTGAACCAGGATCCTCTGCCAGAGTAGCAAGTGCTCTTAACTACTGAGCCATCTCTCTAGCCCCACATCTGGTTTTAAAAAGTAGCTTCCATCCAAATGAATTAGCTCCCAGTACCCAGTATAGGTACTCCTGAACTGAGCTTTGGGGTCCTTATCTACCAAATGGCACATATGAAACTGGGTCACTCATGGCTTGTTAGAAGGATGGAGAGACCTGTGAGGAAGGTAGCAGACCCTTTTCTCGTGCCTCTCAAGTGTGTGGGGTGTGGGTAGGAGGCCTAGGCTCTGGGCCTCTGTGGAAGGGAGGGAGAGGTAAGAGGCAAGAGCGAGGGGATGGGGTTTCTATTTAAAGTGATACCTTGAGGTCAGGGGGCTTCTGGTCTCTGGGGAATTTCTTTGCTAAGAGCCTCACAGGCCACAGCCCCCATCTGGGTGGAAATCCTTGACTCAGGACAGACACAAATCTCTCCTGGGAACTGTTTGTTGTTTTTAGCTGCCTAGCTCAGAGATCATTAACACTCTAAGAATGCAGCCTCTCCTGCCCACCATCCCTGCCTGCCTGGCCTGGACATAGGCCTCCTTCTACTCAAGCAAAGGCTAGGAGACTAGGATGCTGGGGCAGGGGGAGGGCTGAGAACAGTAATGAGTGACCCTTTCCTGAGGCCCAGGGGTCCTGGCTTTATATTGAAAATGGACCTTCCTTCAATCCCCCCACTCCCAGGGCTGCTGTTGCTCCTACCATCTCACCTGTCCCCTTAACACTGGTTAGGCCCTCAAATGGAACTGTTTCAGCCACTTCTCCCAAGTCTTTTCTTCCACTCACCTACTCTTCCCCATAGTAGCAGGTATCCCTCATGAGAGTGGTACCTCCAAGCAACTGCTGGCAATCTTTAAGGTCAGAAGATGCCTCTTCAGCCAGTGCAAGAAACTGGGCCCCACTGCAGAGTCCTAAGCCTTGTAGGGAAGTAGAGAGAGGTACAGAGAACTTAAAGGAGAAAGAGTAGAAGATAATGGACAGCAGGCAGGCAGAAGACCCTCCTTGGAGGCCCTAGGCAATGCCAGTGAGGGAAGAGGGGCTACCTTCAGTCCCAGGCCACCTGACATTGGCTCTCTTCCTCTTCCTGTGCAAGCATGGCAGGTGGAGAGACAGCACAGAGGGCCCTGCCTACTCCAAGGCTGAGCCACAAGAAGAGCTCAGTGTGCTTGGAGGACAGAGGCAAGATCCTGGAGAGGGGAGTGGGGTCAGCTGCTGTGTGACAGGCCAGCTAGAGCCACCAAGGCCTTACAGAGAGTGGCTTCATCTGATAGGAAAGTAGACACAGTGTGGCTGCTGAGAGACCAGTAAGGGGGTACTGCATGGTCATGGTGGAGAAGGTGGCATATTGGAAGCCAGGCAAGGTGGCACATGCCTATGATCCCAGCACTCCGGAAGTGGATCAAGAGTTCAAGATCAGTCACTCTCAGCTACTTTGTGAGGCCAGCCTAGATTATATGAGACCCAGTCGCAAATAAATAAATAAATAAATAAATAAATAAATAAATAAATAATAAGCAAGCTCCATTTATAGAGAGCAATTGAGAGTCCTTGGGCAGAAGACCTAAGATAAAGTCCTGTGGAAATTCCACCTCCATGTGGCCTAGGGAGAGACTGGAGACTGGACAAAGCTCAGCCAAGGAGAACGGAATGGTCCCAGTGTGGTCAGGGCAAAAGCCAGCAAGCTGTGTGGACTGGTAGCTCTCTATTGGAGCTACCAGCAGGAAACTGGGATCGAAGGAGTGAGACTGGGGTCTTTGGCCCTGCCCTCCACAACCCTTCTGCTTCTATGGATTTCTATTAAGTGGCATAGGTCTTGTCTCCTTAGTCAGCTGTCCCCTCCAGGTTCTGGCTACTGCTCTTGCCCCTTCAGGTCCAAGGGCTCCCTGTTACTAAGTGGTGCTTCAAAATCCTTTTTGGCTTTTCCAGATGTAATTGTTCCTTTATTAAATTCCCCCTAGTTGCCTGGTCTGAAAGAACATTCTCTGACTGATGTGAAGGTATGCCTTCTAGGGTTCTTTTTTTCTCTCCGAAGATGGGAGTTGTAGGACTGGGGATGAAGCTGAGTTAGAGTGCTTTCCTAGCATGCATGAAGTCCAGGGTTCAACTGACCCCAGCATCACTTAAACTGAACATGGTGATGTATATCTGTGATCTCAGCACTCAGGAGGTTGAAGCAGGAGGATCAGAAGTTCAAGCTCATCCTTGGATGTATAATGAACTTGAGGCCAGTCTGGGATTCATGAGACTCAGTCTCAAGAAGGAACAAGGAAGGGAGGGAGGGAGGGAGGGAAGGGAGGGATCTGTGCCAACAGTAATGGGGGAAGACTTGGGGAGAAGAGTGACAGTCTAAGGCCTCTCCTATAGGGAGCAAGAATGGATTTATCAAAGAGAGTAAGGATTGAGCTGAGACTGAGACTTGGCTGCAGATTGCCACCACTGCACACACTCACTTTGTGTCCTTGTGGTTCAACCTAAGCACAGGTGCAGAAGCAGCTGAGCAGACCTATAACTTTGCCAGGCCAGTACAACCAAGGATTGTGGGACAAGGGCATATCAGAGAGAAAGTAGAGGATCATAGCCCAGAGGGTCCTGTGGGGTCCCACACTGATAGAGAAAATGAGCAAGCCAGTGGGAGCCACCAGCAAAGGGTGTCTGAAAGGGATTTGAAAGCCCACTTCCCAGTTTGGGTAAGCCCCGAGGACAGGTGTAAGAAGAAGGAGCAAGAGGCTGGGGTGCCAGGAGATTGTCCATTAAGGTCTTTTGGGGCAGGAAGGCTATGAGCTGCTAGTCACAGTCTTGGACAAGTAAGAGGGTGTGCCCAGGACATGCAGCCACACTCCGTGCACATGCACAGCACACATGCACAACCACACGCCCACATCCACCCACACAGTCACACTGTCGCACACACCCACAGCCTTCCCAGACACTCCAAACACCCTCACATGCACTCACCCTCACACGAACCCCAGACAGCAGATGGGGCGCTTGGGTAATTGGTTAAACCTGTTCCCAATGTCTGGCTCCGCCTTGGCAGCACCGTCTGACAGGAAAGCTGGCTGGGCCTGCACCACTAAGCCTGCTGCCCCCCTTCCCTCTTCCTGTGTGACTGCCCTGGAGCAGGGGTCCAGGAGAGGTCTATGGGCTGGCTACACTGCCTGGACATGGGGATGGGAGCTCGAGGGATGCTTAATGTCCTGTGGGAAGCAATTGCAGCACCTGTGAGGAGAAAGTGTGCAGAGATGCTAAGAGCATGCTCCATGTTGCTGAGAAGGCCATGGAGACCAATCCCAAAAAGTTCTGTAGGCCTGAGGATGTGGTATGGTTGTTCTCTGAGAAGAGGCATGTAGATTAGGCCTAAAGAGTTAAGAGCTCCTGCTCTCCTACGTTTGAATCTTGAGCAACTCTGTGCTTTTAGCAGGTGCTCAAAATAGTCAGGCCATCATTCTGCAGGACCCAAGAGGCCAACCTGGCTGAGGGGGAGTGGTCAACAGCTTTGCCCAGGAAGGCCTGGCCCAGCATCTCACACATGGCTGGATGCATGGCAGGAGGCCAGTGTCCAGTCTTCTGGCCCTTTGTAGGCCCCACTCTGCAGACTAGAGGAGCCATCCGGGAAGGGGAGGGAGCAGCAGTCCTGTCTTCTCCCTGCTCGGCTGCATCTGCGGCTCTTTGAGAGAGACTTTGGTTTGTTCCCTGGAGAAGGCCCAAAAACTCCCAAATTAGCAAACCTGGCAAGCCCACAGCTCAGAAAATAGTTCATCCTGATTCCATGTTTTTCAGGCTCACAGAAGCCTTTATTAATGAAGTCACAACACCAATATTTACCGTCTGCAGGGAGAGGCACAACACGGGGCGGGGGGGGGGTCCCTACCCCTCCCAGCAGGCCTGCCTGGGAAGATTGGCATGTTTCCGGTCCCTTCCAGCCCTTTATCTGCTTGATGGGTGTTCTGTGATCTTCCCAGACCCCCCTCCACCCGCCGCCCTCACCAAGCATGGCAGAATCCTCAGAGGAAGGAAGAACTCACGAGTCTCCTTCCTGTGCCCCTACTACTGGACTGGAAAGGGTGTCTCTTCTCACCCTCATGCCACCTGTTTACCCGTGTTCCACAGGATACTCCACTTGCTTGGCAAGGAGAGTTACTGTAGGTTTAACCTGGACTTAGCCAGGTTAAAACTTTTTAAAATTTGAGGATGTAATGGAGAAAAGGACAGGACAAAGCCTTTTGGTTTCTGGTACTGAGTGGATACCAGCAAGGCAGGCAGGGTAGAGAGAGGCATCCGCAGGCCCAGTGGGACCTAGTCTGTGTTCTCAGCAGAAGACATTTTGTGCTTAGATCTCTGAATGTGGTATAGGTAACAAGACTGGGCCGTCCACATGGTCAGGTACACGGTACTCACACATGGGAAGACTAACACAGGCCAGCAAAAAGCCACAGCAACTTACTCAGGGACTCAGGTGAAATAGTAGCAACGTAGGTGAGTCCAAGGGTGGGAAAGAAGGGGGAGCAGGGTACAGGGCTGAGAAAGGGAAGACACGTCCTGCCTGGGTGGAAGGATGAGCACCCTCCTAACTGTAGCATGAAGGGCCTCCTTTGACATTCAGAGACGCCGCTTAATGTCCACATTCCTTCCAAGGGGGAGCAGATGCAGTTAGGCTGCTGACAGGGACAGATGAGGGATGCTGCATTGAGAAAGTATGACTGGACATAACAGTCTAATGGGGAATAGATGGGGCCTGGGAAGGGAAGGGAGGCGTGAGGCACTGATGAACCAGAGGAAGAAGAAGAGGAGTCACAGGACCCTAAGTGGAGGCACTGGGGTTGGGGAGAAAAGAAAGGCATGCCAGCAGATGTCAGAGCAGGTCAACCCAGACAGAAAGTAGGTGAATGTGGCTACAAGGAGACCTGGTGACCATGGCTCGTGACTGTCATTAGTGGAGGCAGAAAGCTGGAGTGAACTCATGGGAGGTGAAGAAGTAGAGGTAGGCCTGGATGTTGGGAGGGAAAGATTGTTGCAAACACAGGCCATTCTTCTCCAGGATGAAGGAAAACTTGACAAGGGGGTAGGACAGACAGACAAACTGGAAAGAGCTCACTGGGCCTGCCTTGTCTCTTGTGGGGTTGGGGTTGCCCTCAGTCTTGAGGGCCTATGCAAGCTCACCATTAAGCCCTCTAAGCTGCTCAGGGGTTCTAGGTATGGTGGCTCACATTTATAATTCAGCATTCAGGATGCTGCAGCAGGAGAACTGACATGAATTTGAGACTAACCTGGGCAACAGAGTGAGACCTTGTCTCTAAAAAAACAAATGAAAATGAAAAGTCTCTGAGACGGGCCCTCCTTAACCCATCCCAGTACTCCTTCCCTCTGGTTCCCCTCTGCTGGAGAAGCCACCACATTCTCTAGGCATGGGGAACCTTTCTCTTTTCTATCCCTCCATGAGTTTGGAGCAACTTGGCCCAGGTTTCCCCTCATGTGTCCAGGCTCTGAGCAGCGTTGCTGACCAGCCCCAACTGTACCCAGAGCCGAAACCCCACCACTGCAGGATCTAAAGTTGAAGATGGATGGCTGTGTCATTAAGAGAGAAACTTTTATTATTCCCACAGGGAAGGAAGACATGAGAGGATCACTAAGAACTACAGCAGGTACCTGGAAAATAAATTAAAACAGAAATGTCTCAAAACAAAGAGGAGATAAAGAGACACGAGAGCAGCTGAGGGCTGCAGTGATGGGCAGCCCAGCCAAGGGGTAGGCTCTCCACTGAGAAGGCTGAGCAGTCCCAGGCCTCAGTCAGCCCATTTCTTGTCCCTCTGCCGGTGATGGCCCCAGGCTCCAAGCCCTGTGGGGCTATGACTCGAGGACTCCCTGCAGCCTGACCAAGGACTGGTCAGAGTCCCAGGGCGCTGGCCAGCAGCAAGCAGCGCTCTGCCCTTGTGGGCTTGTGGTTGTTCCCCTAGTCATTGGAGGTGACATCGATGTCCTCCCCATTGGCCTGCTTCGTGGCAATGCGCCATCGGTTGATGTGGTGGGAGCCTTTCTTCTTCTGCTCCGACTCAGGTCCTTCCTCCTCCAGCTTTTGCCGTTTGTACTTCGTCCTTCGGTTCTGGAACCACACCTTCACCTGAGCCAAGGAGGGAGGGGTACAGGTGAGAAACAGCCCAGGTACCTCCACACTTTGACTGAGTTGGGAGCCAGATGGGGAAACAGGCTACACAGGGTCAGGGCTCCCAGGCCAGAGTTCTCTCCTCCAGGCAGCTGCCACCTGATGTGTCTGGAAGACTGGTCTTCAGATGAAAGTGAGTAGGACAGAAGATAACACTGGGCCAGGAGGAAGGACAATTTTCCAGTCTCTCTCAGAGATAAGGGATGGGGACATGGCTAAGGAACCTCCTGCAGCCAGTGAACAGAAAAGAGCACAGCGAGCCAGGGCTTTCCCAATGATAGAAGAGTCATTTCCAGAAGGCCTAAAGCACACTCAGTCTCCTGAACTGAACCCATACTCTGCTGCACAGAGGGAGAGAGACAGGGCTTCATAACCAGGAGGTGGTGTCCATACCAAGAGCAGGGCCTGGGACAGCCAGATCATAGTAGGGTCCTAGAACCACCTCTGGACACAAAAGTAACCCCACATATGCTCTGCCAGTTGCCTTTATGTCTTAGCAGCACTGTGTGAAATTCCTTTCCCACTTCAGAGGTAGAGCTATGTAGGCCAGAGTTGGGTAGTGGGGAGCCCTGGTCTCCAAGGTACCAATTCAACAGGACAGTCTGAAACCCACCCATGAGCCTCTGTCCTCCTTGGATTCCCATGTTCCAGATAACACACAAGGAACAGTCAGAATAGATCTTGAAGGACAGAAGTAAGCACCTATTTGAACACATGAGTCCCTGTTTCAGTGCCAGGCAGTGGGAGTTCCCATAAGAGGAGGGGTGGGACTCACACAGGCTGGACAAGTGTCCTCTGAGATGGGGGAACGGGTCTGTGAGTCTAGGCATTTCTAGGAAGCCTCAACTTAGTCCTATCTACCATCCCTCCTTCCATGTTCTCCCAGCTCTAATTATCCCTCCTTTCTCCTCCTCTCCCAACATTATTGTGTGTCCATGACACAGCCTCACATCCTCCCATGTGTGAGTCCAGAGCCATGCTGGCTCACACAAACCCTCAGTGTTTCTACACCGTGGAGGAAGCAGGAATCCATCTGCTTCTCCCAACCTTACATTTGGACTTGGCCTTTCAGACAGAAGAGGCCAAACTCTCCTTGGTGCTGGTAGGAGGAATCTAGGTACCCTCCTTGGCTAAGTCCCTTCCCCTTCCTAAACTTATATTCCTTATCCACAGGGGAGATGCTTTGGGGACCCTCCTGGATCCCTGTTTCAGTGAGTCCCTGGGGGAGGGGGACCAGCAGGATTGTAGGACCAGAAGTTTTCTTGGAAGTGTTAGCATAGTTAAAAGCAAGCAGGCGCTCACACCTACTATGGCTGTGCAAATGGCATTGGTAAGTTGTGTATATTGTAGTGGTGAACAATTTGTGTAGCAGTGGTGACTGCTAAAGGTCTAGATCCCCAGGCAGGGCTGACAGCAGCCCTTTGAGGCAAGCACAGGCAGCTACAAAGGTGGGCTTGTGACTCAGGGCTGGGTGCAGGGTGTCATTTCTGATAAGCCCAGTGGATTAGATGGGAGTGATTGTGGGTGACAGTGGACAACACTGGCGATAGACAGCCACTTTCTGTACCTTTCTCCCTTCTTTCACCTCCAAGTCTCCTTCTGAAGATTGATGATCACAGTGGCCTCTAATAGGACAGACCTAGCATGTTTGTGGCGCACCATGTGAAAGGGAAACCTATTTTTTCCCTAAAAATATTAAGGTCAGCAGGACTAGAAATTTAGCTCAGTTGGTAAGAGTCCTTGTCTAGCACACAACAAGGCTTGTGTTCTATCCCCAGCACCATACAAATCAGATGTGTTAGGGCATGACTATAATCCCAGTACTTGGAAGGTGGAGACATGAAGACCAGAAGTTTTAGCTGAGGATGTTTAACTATGTAGTGAGTTCAAGGCCAGCCTGGGCTACATGAGACCCTGTCTCAAAATAAATAAAAATACCAGGGCAAAAAGGCAGCTCTCTAGAAACCAGAATACAGCCCTCTCTTAGGCAGCCTGGCTGTCTTCTGCTGAACAGCCCTGGGCTGCATGTCCAGATGCTGTTTACAAAGCCTGTGATAAGAGGGACAGTTATGATTCCATAATGTTAGTGTGAAAGCCAGAATGCACAGTGTGGGCACAGAGAATTCACAGCAACAGAGGACAAAAATCTATGTGTGTGGGGGAAAAAGATCAGAAGAGAATGGACCCAAACCATGGGTGACTTTTTCTTTTGTTTCTTCAACTTTTCTGAATTTTCTTTAATGCGTTGTTGATAACAATAGTTCTTTTTTCTTGGGGGGCAGCGGGGGTGTGAAAGCCAGAATGCACAGTGTGGGCACAGAGAATTCACAGCAACAGAGGACAAAAATCTATGTGTGTGGGGGAAAAAGATCAGAAGAGAATGGACCCAAACCATGGGTGACTTTTTCTTTTGTTTCTTCAACTTTTCTGAATTTTCTTTAATGCGTTGTTGATAACAATAGTTCTTTTTTCTTGGGGGGCAGCGGGGGGGGGGACTAAGTTTCCAGGGTAGTAGGAAAAGATACTGATACTCTATAATCCAGTCAGGTAACTCTGGAGTTAATCCCTTCATCAGAGGACAGAGGCCCTAGAGGGAAGGCAGGTCACATAGTGTGGCTACTGCCCTATGGAACCAGCTTTAGGGGACCATAGCTGTCTGTACACGTCTCGCCACTCCAATATCAAGAATGTTGGCTGGAGCCCTCCTTTACCCAACTTGACCTCTCTGGTTTTGTGGTCTCATGAATCCTCATTTCACTAGGTGTCTCCCAGTTTCTTACCAAAACCAAACCCTTCCAAGATTCTCCATCTTGGCCTGAGATGTGTAATTCTTACTTGGTTTTTAAGACCCTGCTCAGGTATTCTTAGGCAGGACCTGTCCCGGCATATCTATCCTCTTGGCCCTTTTTCCTGGTCTCAGTAACAGTGAGCCCAGCTGCACCTCTATCTTCTCACCAGATTCTGGGACTCTGGAAAACAAAAGCAGTGTCTTCTCTGGCTTTGGAGCCCCACAGCCTAAAAGGCCTGTCCCATACATGGCCATCTAGCTGGAAAGAGGTAGGGTGACCCAGCCGTGTACTCTAGGTAATGATTGCCAGGGCCAGACCTAGAAAATGGGATAAATCAGTAGAAGAAGAACTCAGATGAATCAAAAAAGGGGCTGGGGAAGTGATAAGTGCTGAAATAATGGAGTTCCTTTTCAGCCGAGTTTAGTGGACACTGTGGCAAGAGGGTTAATTTTTTTAAAAATATTTTATTATTGTTATTTTATGTGTAAGAGTGCATTATCTGCATGTATACGAGTGCACTCGTGTCGTGCAATGCCCTTGGAGGTCAGAAGAGGGCATCAAGTCCCCTGGAACTGGAGTTATGGACAGTTGTTACCCATCATGTGGGTGCTGGGAATTGAACCCAGGTCCTCTGAAAGAGCATCCAGTGTTCTTAACCACTGAGCAATCTCTCTAGTCCCAAAAGGGTCATTAATGCTGCCTTAATTAGTTGGTTTTGGAGATCCAACTGTCCTAGTTGGTTTTAACTAACACAACCTAGAATTGCCTGGGAAGAGAATATCAGTTGGGGAATTGCCTTGATCAGATTGGCCTGTGAGTATGTCTGTCAGAGATGGGGCTTAGTCCACTGTGGATGGTGACATTCCCTGGACAGGTAGTCCTTAACAATATAAGAAAACTAGCTGAGCTTAATAAGCTTGCCTACCAGCCAGCCAGCAAGCAACATTTCTCCATGGTTCCCAGCATACTTCTTTGGCTGTGAAGTGAGCGCCTTGGTTGGAGTTAATTCTGTATGGAATAGCAAGCAGGCCTGCCTTCATGTACTTGCTTTGACTTTCTGCTTTGAATTCCCTCAATGATGGGTTGTAACCTGGAATTAGAAGCCAGATAAGTCCTAAACCCTTTCATCCCCCTAAGTTGCTTTTGGTCAGGATATTTTATCATGACAATAGAAATGAAACTATGGAGTATATGCGAAGATGCATATGCAGCTGGGGATCACTGTTAACTGAGACCAGGAAGAGCACAAGGAAATAAAGGAAAGTGGATTAACCACTTCCAGGAGGAAGCTGGAGGAGGACTGTCCATTGTGGAGAGGGGCAAGGCTCAGCTTGAGCCAGGTCAGTTGACAAACAGGAAACTGCTCTAGATGGACAAGCATATCACTTCCTCAGAGTACTGGTCACTGTACGTTATGGATGAAGGCATGCATGACTACATCAATGAATGGACAATGACCTTACAACAAGCAGGCGACAGTCCCTGTCAGTATTTCAGAGATTATCACACTTTACTTTTGAAGAAACTGCTGTTTGACCAAAGGAAGTCTTATCCCTCTTTCCCACCACTGCCCATACCATGGCCTCTTCGCTCCAGGTGCCTGTATACGTTCCAGGGAAGACTGTCCTGTCCTCAAGAAGTTCAAATATCCTTGCCAAGATCTTGTAACTGTGACACAGGAATTCTCCTTATGTTCTACTGCTCCCTCTCCTGCTGTAAACATGTCTTCATAGTCTGCCATCCTCAGACACAGAGAGAGTCCTTAGAATAGACAGCAGCTTGGAATATCAATCAAGCCACCCTTCAGCCTGCTCTCTTCTCTGCCCTCTCCCTGGAAATTATTTTTCCTATCATTTGATCATGTCAGTGTTCCCATTCTCAGGGGCAGCTCAACTCTCATCCCACCAAGCTGAGGTTGCTTCCAACTCCCCACCTGCTGTAGTCTTATCTCTTCCTGAGCCACCTTGAATCCTCCTCCGTTCACCCATCCTAGATTTTTACCCCACTCCACTCCATTCATCCCCCTCCTCAGGTTCATGTCCCTGTCCCAGATCCTCAGAAAGCCATTCCAATCTCCCTTAGCTTTTCCTTACCCCACCACATATGGACATGCTTGGAGAAGAGCCAGGGCTTAAGGGAAGGGATGTGCCATCCCAGAGCCACAGTGAGATAGTATCAAAGGTCTCTTTCCCTAAAATTCAAATCACTTGGTTATCTTCATTTTACCTTTCCCTCCAAAGGCATACTATTCCACAGCAGGAAGGGACACACCCCTCCCATGTCTGTGAGGAAAAACCCATAGGTAGGTGAAGACATACTTGTGCCTCCCAAGACTTCCCTCCCCCCTCCCCTCAGGCCCCAGGATGGCAGCTGGGCTTGGTAGTTTCAGCTCCATCTTACCTTGCTCACCTCAAATCCTTGCCTTCCTCCCTTCCTCCCTATAATCCTACACATCCCTCCAAGTCTTTGAAGTCAGAAGGCTCTGGAGCCTTCTTCCCATTTTGTCTCCCATGGGATCCCTCACTCCCAAGCTCTGACTTTAACAGTTGCTCACCCTCTGCTCCTCCTGCAGACACCCACACTTTGCATTTAGCCTCTACTATTAAGTGAAGACTCTAAGGCCAACGACCAAATCCTTGTCTTTTCACTCATAGCTCAGCAAAAGTCAGTGGTAGACAAAGTTAGGAGACAAAAAACCTTCTGGTCTTTTCTTGGCAGGGCCACCAAAACACTGATTAGCCAGGAGCAACCAAGTGCCTTCTCACCCTCTACAACCAATATACCCCATAAATGAACATGTGTGCACAAGTGACATAACTATCTCTTGTGTCCTGTGACTGCCTACTGGCATCTGATGGGTTTTGGGGATATTGTCCAACCTTTAGGCACCCATCACAGTCAGCCCATGGTGTCCTGTATGGTGGGCACACACTCTCAGGGTGCTTGAGGTTCTGGTCTGACCCAGACCCAGATTTGCCCAACCAGTCAGGGGTACAAGCTTAGGTGAGTACCTTCCTGGCCATACTCCAGGGTTGTTCCACAAAAGGTATGAAGCAACTAAGTACAACCAAATGCAGAACTGACTGTTACCCAAGGACCTTCCTTTTACCTCTTGGGTTTCCCACTTTCATCTCAACACAAACACCCATTCCTAAAGTATACAGATCTACACCAGTAGCCCCAGCTACTTACCTCCTGACACCTCACACTGGATATTTTAAAAACATGTATGAATGAGTCTTTTGCCTGCATTATGTAAGTGCACCATGTGCCTGCAATGCCTGTGGAGGCCAGAAGAGGGCACAAGATCCCCTGGAACTGAAGTTAAGGATGGTTGTTAGCTGCCATGTGTCAGCTGGGTACCAAATGTGGATCTTCTGCAAGAGCAGCAAGTGCTCCTAACTGCTGAACCATCTCTCCAGCCCCCTCATGCTGAAGTTTTGTGAGCACAGAGCTCCCCTGTGATGATCTACTGAACCCTCTCAGACTTATCCATAGATTGGTATTTCCCTCATCAAAACCAACAGTCCGCTGTTATAGTATACCTGGGCAATTGAAGGAGAAAAACAGGGAGGAAACAATGAGGGTAGAGAGCAGAGGAGTGACTGATAAAGGCTAGTGGTCATGTGTGGAGAATCAAAACAAACTTGCCTATTCATCTGGTACATTTTTTAAAAATTTGAGACAGGGTCTTATGTAGTCCAGGCTAGCCTCAAACTCATTATTTAGCTCAGGATGTTCTACCTTGCCTCTGCCTCACAAATGCTGGGATTATAGGTGCATACCACCATGCCTGGCTTTCATTCAGCACACGTCCATTGAGTATCTACTCCATGCCGGGTACTGAGCTAGGTCATGTGAGAAAAAGTAAGCTTGACCTTTGCTTCCCATAGCCAAGATGCTCAGACTTGTTGTTCATGAGAATCACCCAGTAAACTCTTCTCTCCTGGGCTGCATCCTAGATGTCCTAAGAGCATCCCCTGGGTATCCTTGTATTTTAAAAGCTCCCTGAGAGATGGATGCAGGTGGTCTACAGATTGACCACCTGCATATGGACATGGCAGATAATTAAGTTATAACAGCAAAATCTGATGCATATTAGGATAGGCGGGGGGGGGAATACTCTGAACTATGGGAACATGGAGGAGGGACACACAGAAACAAGGAAGTCAGAAGTGGAAAGTGAATGAGTCTCAGAAATTCAAGGCTGGAGAGCACCCTTGTGTTTATTTCATTCAACCTCAGTAATGAAGCAATGGAGGCCCAGGGAAAAGACGGAACCAGAGCTGAGCTGAGCTGACAAGATGATGGCCATCAGCAGATATGTGAGGATACTGGCAGTTGTTAATAGCTCTCTAGAGATGAATGGTGGACATACAGAAGATAAAATGGATGATGAGATAATTAACTGATGGGTACACAAGGGCATGCAATTCATAGAAAACATAAATTTATCAATTTATACAGGTTACTAGATATAAGACTGCTACATGTGAGGGACAGACCACAGAAGCCTAGTTGACAAATGTATGTATCAACATTAGAAACACATAGCAGGGAGCTGATTGACAAATAGCAGATAACTGCAAATGACAGGTAAGCTTGCCTGGCAAATATGAGAAATGGATGGTTAGCTAATTATACAGTCTGAGTTCAAGTAGTAAGTTTGAAGGGCAACAGAAAGACAACTCTGATAATGGAGAATGAATGTGGCAGGAAGAATGCCCACCCAGAGGCACCCAGGCTGGCTCCTTATTATGCTACTAATTTGACATATTATTTTAAACAAAGAGAATGGAAAGGACTAGGAATAGGAATGGAGCTATCTGAGTTTTATGCAAGAGGCCTCTAATCCTTGAACAACATATTTTCTGGAAGGAAACAGACTGAGAGTGGTTGAGTGATTTACCCATAGCCACACAGCAGGTAGATATTTGAAGTCAAATCTGCCTGATTTGGGGGAACCTGCCCAGCCCTTCTGGAAAGACAGGGGCTACAAGGAAGCTCTGCTCAATACCCCCCACATAGTTCTATAAAAGGATTGCTATTGTGTATGCAATCCTACCTCATTCCAGAAGGAAGGAGATTAGCGAAGAATTCCGATAGTTAGTAGAGCTGGATACATCATATTATTCTATTTGGTTTTGTTCTAAATATATATTTGAAAAGTCCCATAATAAAAATGAAAGAAACATCCAGCCCATCTATGAACTGGCATTGTTAGAAACAAATGTTGACAGAAAGCTAGATTCAGTTTGAAATAAAGTTAATTAAAAATGCTCGCACTGAGCTAAAAAATGGAAAGTTTAAAAACAATGACACTATTTCAGCAAGTGCTAATCTGTGGGTGGTGGGATTATAAACTGTTTTGTTTTCTTACATTTCTGCAATTAACATTTAATAAATATTACTTTTTACATGAAGTTAATTATAAACACTATTCTTAAGTTGACACCTTGTTTTAAACAATAATTGTAAGGTGCTGTTTGCCAGGAGGGAAAAGAGGTGTTATTTTATTGACTTTTTTTTTTTTAACATAGCTTTCTTTAAAACATTTAAAAAATTAACTCTGTTGCCTTGTAAAATTTTTTTCTTGCAGTTGGAGTTGTCAGTTAGCAACTCTGAAAAGCCATGGGTCCTGCAGTCCTGTGATGGAGCCTGAAGGAGATGCCTCAACAGAGATCTGCTATACAGGGTATCAGACACCGCAGCCACAGTGCCAGGGCAGAGGGTGAGGCTGTGGTGTAGTTATTGCCTCCATCTACTAGACTAGCGCTCCTTGTTATCCTAGCAGCTAATGGGAGGCCACAGGCAGCCCCCACCTGCAATTAGTTGTATAGCAGGGGGCAAAGTGGGTGGAAGGAACAGGCAAGGTTCATGACCCCAAGAAAGAGGCTGACATCCCATTCCAGAGCCGGAGGCCTAAACAGGAAACTCCTCCAGGGCAGCAGCTGAGTTCAGGGTCCTTCATGCACCAGCCCATGCACCCAGGGAAGGACCAAACATGAGTGGCACTTCCTCCCCGCGTTAATTTATGGCAAGTCCTTACAATGACCCCACATTTGTTTGCTCTTTGCCATTCCCTAGATTAAAAAAAAAATTTTTTTCCCTTAAAGTACCAAACCCTACCTGGAAATTGTAATATCACCCTGTTCAAGCCCTCCAACACCACTGGAATTCACTCCCTCCCACACCTAACCAGCCACTGGTGCCTGGTCTACAGTCCCAGCTCCAAGCCTCTCAGAGGCTCCCTGCATCCGTACCACTGTTCCCAAAGACCTAGCTGCCGGCCTGTGCACCGGTCAAGGCCACACTCTCCGACTTCAGCTTAGAGCTGGCCTCTCCGAGGTTCTTTCCTTCTGATGAGGAGAGCAGCCTTTCTTTCTCCACACATCACATGTCGGAGGTGAGGAAAGGTCTTGCCAGCTTGGCCAGCAGACGTCAACACTGCCTGGGCGGAGATGGCCAGGTTACCCTGCAGACTGTGAGTGCCATGTCCTCTAGACCAGATAGGGTTGCAGCGACTTGGGGGTGAGGTCTGGGGACAAGGGGCGTCCCCGGCCTTCGCTATCTGGGCTCGGGGGACCAAATACCGGCTGTGGACTCTGTCTCTAAAAAGTCCTGTGAAGCCAGGAGTGATAGCTGAAGTCTGTGATCCCAGCTGAGGCTGAGGCAGGAGGATTGCAGCTAGTCCAACCTGGGCTACGTAGTGAGCCCCTGTCTCAATTTAAAACAAAACAAAACAAAAACCCACTTTTGAGACCCAACAGGACAAGCGCTGAGGGATGGAAGGGGTTCCTGGGACGCAAAACCTCCAGGGTGGCTTTTGGTACCCGCCGGATGGGAGCTCCAGCCCCACCTCCCCTGCTGGGCGCGAGCCCTTGGGCCACGGCCGGGGATGGTTACCTGCGTCTCCGAGAGGCTGAGGCTGCCTGCCAGCTGCTTCCGCTCGGCTCCAACCACGTAGTGGTTCTTCTCGAAGGCGCGCTCCAGCCGCAGCAGCTGCGAGGGCGAGAAGGCCGTGCGGATCCGCTTGGGCTTGCGCGCGAAGGGCCCGTGGAGGAGCAGCCCGTCCTGGGGTACGTCGCTCGCTGCGGCCCGGCAGCAACGGCAGCGCAGGTACAGAGAGAGAAGGGGCGCTGTGAGCCGCAGCCCCCTGCGGGGAGCGCCCTACCACCTATGCACCCTGCCACCCCATCTGCTCCCCTTTCCCCTTCCGCCGCCCAAGTCCGCCCGCCTTCCTGAAACCACCCTCAGGAGCTACCCGCCGGACGCGCGGAATTCACTCTTTATCCTAGAGGCGAGCCCAGGCCCGATGAGGCACCTACAGACCCAAATCCACGTTGCCAGGGGCGGCAGAAAGGCCAAGGGATGACAGAAGTCCCTTAGGTCTCTCCCTGAGCCCTTTACCAGCGAGGCTGCCTCCCCCCAGAGTCCCAATGACTCGCTTTTAATCTTCTGATCGGGAAGCATCGCCCTCCCTGCCGAGACCGGCAGGTCTGGGTGTCAGGAAGATGATAAGAGAAAGAGCAAGGCTGTTAGGCAAGCCCGTGCCAAACACTACTTCACCAACTAACTAGAAGGCATCCAAAGACCCACACCTGCTTAAACTAGGAATGCTCAAACTACTAGCTGACTGAAAAGTGCCAAAAGTCCTAGCCTCCACCATGCAAGAGGTGAAGGCAGGCCAGGTCAAGCATGCAGGCAGACCTTGCAGGTCTCAAAATTTCTATTTCCTTCTTTCTCTGCCCCACCTCTTTCCCCAGGCCTTAGACTACGTGCAGGCCCAGAATAAGAAGCTGGTCATTACAGGACACTCTTATTGTTCCCTGGTGGGAAAAGTCTTGCTGCCTTGGATATAGTCTGTGCTAAAGGCACATGAAAGTATTGATCTAGGTGCCATCCAATATATATAATGGTTTCTCCATGGGCATGTGTAAATATATGCTCCATTTCCCCCTTATCCTTTCCTACCATTACTGTACAAAGATTTCAGAGTGTGATTGTCCTTTGGTGAGGCTCTGCATTCAATCCCTACACTGAGGAGGACTGGATAAGGCTGGGGTGGTGGTCAGGAAGCACAAAAGTCAAAGCAGGCATCTACCCACAGCTCCAGTACAGCAAGCCCCCACTGGGCCATCATACAGTTGAACATTCTCAATTGTCATCTAGGCTCAAACAAGCCCTGAGACCATCACGGGTCCTCACACAGTGGCCTGTATCAGTTCCCCTGACCCACCAACAACAGAGTCCTAGATGGGATGTTTTGACAGAGTTAGCTGTTAAGACTGACTGATCCAATTAATTTCTTCAGAGATGGCTACTGGGTTGACTCAATTTGACCTGCTGTTTTGCTCTGAAGACAATGACCTGGACAATTCAGCTGAGATCTCTCATTTCTGGAAACAGCTATGTAAGTAAAACAGGCAGGTTGTTGAGGTACACTTGTTAAAACTCTCCCCATAAATTAACTGTATCCCTCTGCTGGTAGGAAATGCTTTGCTATATCTGGGCTCTGGAGACCTGCACTGGCTAGCAAGATCACAGGGATTTTCTTTCTTTCTTTTTTTATTCACAAGGTAATTTTTTACTGAAAATTTGAACATTTCATACACTATATTTTGATTGTATTTAGATTCCCCTCCCCTATTTGCACCTTCTTTACTACCCAATTTCATGTGCTCTATTAGATATATTATATATAAAATATTTGTATATACATTAAGATCCATAGAGTCAAAATTGTGTCCCCAAATGCCCTTCAGTATGGGTTCATCACTGGAACCTGGTCATTTGGAACAAATGGAACTATGGAACACAGTTGCTTGGGACTGAGGTGCTGGGAGAGACAAAGTTGCTGACCTCCAGTCACCTTATTCAAGTGCCTGGGAGAACATCACTGGGGAGTAAAGGATGGACATTTGCCCCCTAGGTCATTTGTGGTAAGAGCAAACCTAGGATTCTCAGGCCTGTTTGAAGAAAAAGAAGTTTCAGTTGGATAGTAGAGGGACAAACAGTCAGAGGAGGTGGTCTGCTAGAGAGAATGAGGGGAGGAAAAAGGAGGAACCTTCTCCTGGATGGAATAGAGAGGATTAAAGTTTCAGGAGAGGAACAGTATGGTAGGCCAGGGAAAAGTAGAGAAAGCAGATGGGAAGCTTTTACTGATGCTAAAATGAATTGCTTCAAAGTCCCACCTTGTTCTGAGTCTAGTAAAGTCCCAACAGAGGTTTTCTATGGACAAATGAGGGTGTGTATGTGTGGAGGGGTAGCCTAGCTTATCTCAGCCTTCAAAGGGTTTGGCCTTAGCTGCTGGTGGGCCTAACCTGAACAGAAGCAAGGCTGCAGCCTGGAAGGGCCCTTTAGATGTAAGTGGGGTGCTGTGGTGTGCAGGGAAGCATGGAGCTGACAAAGCAAGATGGGGCTCTACAGCAGAGCTGTATGGAGATGTTGGGGAGTCTATCAGTCACCTCTGATTTGAAGGGAAGTGCTCTGTCTTTTTAAACTCACTGGAGGAGGATGGCAGGAAGCAGCTCTGTCCTCTGATCATGAATGGCCCCAGTTCATTGTAATGTTCTGATGCACCTGCCTTAGGATGTGTCCATATGCACAGGTAGAAACATCGGGGTCTTTCTGACCAAACTACCAAGAAGCAGAAGGCTGGAAAATTATTCAAAACGCTGATAAATAATGACAAGCTATTTGACCCCAAAGATGCAAGGCTTTTTCCAATAAGAAGGAGGATGTTCAGTAACATCTGAGACAACGAACTTGCTCAGTCCAACGGCAAGGATGCCTAGGTACCATGTACCTGGGTGGTTTTTTCTTTGACCTACGGGAAGAGGTCCACCCTTTTCTAGCATCTCCAAGTCTGGCCCTGTAGCTGGGGTGCAGCCTGTTTGGAAGCAGCAATTTCAGGCTGTGAGAGTGTCAGTTTCAGACACCCAGTGGAGAGAGAGGTACATATTCCCAAGTCTTCCTGGAGTTAGAATGTCAACGTTCCCTCTAGCCCGGGTTCCTACACCCTCTCTGTGGGCCTTTGCCAGGCGAAGACTGGGAAGTAGAAACAGAGATTTCTAGGAAGGCGGCTGCTGGAAGCGGGAGCTAGGATCTGAAGCGCCCTGGGCTGAAGCTGCAGTCCTGGACAGAGGGGCAGCCGCCCGCCTGACTGGGGCTTGGGGCGGGATGACCCGGCGGGGTGGTCTGAGGCTAGGATCCCCAGAGGCAGGTCAAAAAGCCGAGATAACCGGGTTCCTCCTCCTCAGCTGGAACAAAAACTGCCTTAGAAGCTTCGGTTCCCGACCACAGGGGTTTTGAGAGGGCTGGGTCTCCCTCAGCCCCTCTAGACGCAGCTCCCCAGTCTAGAAAGTTCTTAATTTCCAGGAAATATCACCGAAATGCCAGCCTGTCTTGCTTTTGGCAGGTTCCTCCCCTTTGATCCCGGGCTCCGAGGTCCTAAAGGTGCACACCGGCTTTTCGCGTTCGCTTAGGGGAGAAGCGGCTTCCACTAGCGCCCAGCCCAAGCTGCCCGAGAGCGCTGCGCCCAGAAAGCGGACGTTTCCTTTTCGTTCCTGTAGGGTTTCGTTTCTAGCATCAAAAACGGGACTAAAATGAACATCGCAGAGACCGGGTTCTCTATAAAACGCGGCGCCGGAGGGTCCGGGACGGCTCGGTTCTCATCTCCGAGGCCGGGCGTGGTCTGAAGAGTGCGTCGCCGCCAGGACACGCGTCCGCCTGCAGCAACGATGATGGGCCCCAACGCTACAGAGTCTCGAATAGAAAAGGTCCTTTGGTGCCCATCGAATTTCCGAGCTCGCGAATGCGGTCCCTCTTGGATCCATCTCCGCGTCCAGACACGGTTCTTAAGAGAAAAATCCAACCGTTGTGCAACTCCACAACGTATTCCCTGGGACCGAAGGCTCAGGAAGCAGCAGTAATTTCCGAGAGAGAATGCATCGGTCTCGCCCGACTTGGGGCTGCTGAGAGCCGGAGAGCTGGGTCTTTCGAAAAGGACCTCCCGCTCTGGGGGCGCAGGATCAGTGCTCGAGGTCTTAGGAGCGAAAGTGAGATTCCAGACTCAAGGCGGAAAAATCCCTTCTCAAGGCCACCTCCAGACAAGCTGACCTTCTGGACCTGGCGGAACCCGCGGCACCCTCTTCTCCAGAGCCCCTGTCTCCTCACCAGCCCTGGTCCCTCTGACCGCGGGCTTGCAAGATTCGAAGACCCAAACCCTGCCAGTGTGAAAGAAGCTGAAGACTGAGCTCAGTGGGGACCCAGGTAGTTAAGTAAATTTGAATAAAATCTCTTTTTATCATCAGTAAGCATTGATGTAACTGATGAGATATGTTACCCAAAACACCTTAGGCTTTTCCCCCCTCCCGTCTGGGCAAATCCTTGAAATTCTGAGGAGACAAAAATTCTTGATGAAGTAATTACACTCTCTGGATCCATGGAATCTTTTTGGTGAGTGTCTCTTGGCCAGGTGGGCCTGAGATCATAGTCGGGACCGTTCTGCCTAAATAGCTTTCTGGGCCAGTCAAATAGCTATAGCCAAAGCGCCAGGAAATATTTTAATTTTATAATCTAAATAATTATACCAAGTATTTGATTCACTTTGACCGTGTAGACCTGGCTTATTATCAGATTAGCTCCTGGAGCCAAAGTGTCAACCTTTTTTGTTGTTTCAAGAAAAGCTGAATTTACCTAGCTCCCTGTGAGCCATGAACCTCTCAAGATTGGGGTCCAGTCTACACGAACAAAACCAAACAGGGACTAAAGCGATTACTTCAGGAACCAAGGTCAATTTTTTTTTTTTAAATGAAAGAAAAACTCCAACAAATCCGAGGAAGAAAATGAACTCCAACAAACAGAACTCTCTATTCTTTGGGAAAGTCAGATAACTGGAAAGAGAAAAGAGGGAAGGAAAGGGGAAGGGAGGAGAGGGGAGGGGAGGGGAGGAGAGAGAAGAGGAGCAGAGAGAAGAGAGAGAATGAATGGGGGGGGGGATGTCTTTGGCTATGACCTTAAAAGCCCTTTTGCCCCAGCCTTCTCCTGGAAAGGATTGTCCTCAGCCCCTAGCAGCAGGGTGAGCTCCGGAAGCAGTCAGCGGTGAAGGAACCCAGTTTGCTTTTTGCAAACCGTCCCCGCCTCGGGTCCGAGAGGCCACGTGTGATTTGGAGAAGTCTGCCAAGGTGGCCAAGAGACAGTCCAAATCAACGGAGCGAGCACTCCACGCTGAACATTAACTGTGTTGTAGCCCTCACAGTCGCCCCTGATTCCCAGAGCCAGGGTGCGCAGGTGGACTTTCCCCTGCCCTGACTCCGGCGAAGGATTCCTAGGAGTTGGTGATCACGAAAGCGAAGGACGGTCCCAGCTCAAGCAGGGGCGCGGGAAGAGCTGAGGGCCCTGCGCTTTCTGTGATAGGACCGGTTTAGTTATAGAAGAGACTAAGGTCGGCCAAGTGAGGGCCAGATGAGGCGCCAAGGATGCTTCTGGGCCGGAGTTCCCACCAGTCTCACTCCCGAAAAGTGTAGAGGTCTCAACCTCACTCCCTGGTGCGAGACCAAGACAACGGAGGGCAGACTGATCTGGCGGGGCTTTTCCCACCATGGGAAACAACCTCTGCAGACCAGCAGCCGTATCCTCAGCAACTTCTGAACAGCCCCGCGACGCCCCCGAGCCTCCCCCGTGTCATCGGTGCACGGCCGCTGGCCGGCCCCCTTGGCTGGCGGGCACAGCGTGGGCACTCACCCTGGAAGCGGTGGCCGAAGAAGCGATTCCGCAGCACCCAGGGGTAGAAGTGGAGAGGGTCCCGGTGCTGGGCCCCGAAGAAAGAGTGCGGGGGTTGCAGCGGGGATGCGCCCAGCTGGTGCGCGGGGTGCACCGTCAGAGCCGGGTGGTTCATGGCCTCGGGGAACACGAGCTCCGGCCCTCCGTAAAGCGAGCGGCCGGCACCCGCGGCGGCAGCGGCAGGGAAGCCGCTCACGAAGGCCGCCTCGGCGGCGCCCGGGTGAGGGTAGTTGAGCGCGGTGGGCCGGAGTGGTTCCTCGGAGGCGGTCGCGGCCAGGGGATGGGAGCCCGAGCTCCCGCTGCCGGTGCTGCCGCCGGTGCCACCATCCTTGGCCACCAAAGACTCTATGGTGAAGCCCCGCTTGGCTGCAGGCTGGAACATGATCGCCAGAGTCGAGCAAGGCAGCGGGGGTCTGGGGAGCGCTCGCCGCCCTGGCGCTGCCGCCTTGCAGGGTGTGCTCCGAGTCAGGCACATGCACTCACACCCGCACCCCTCACCTCCCCCGCCCGCAGGCCCGCCCGCGCTCGACCGGGGCCGGGGAGCCGGGGGCAGAGAGGCGAGGGGCGTGCAAGCGCGGTTGCACCAAGTCGGGCCGCTGCGCAGGGCCGGGAGCCTGGGTCCCTGCGGCCCAGCGGACAGTTCCCGGCGCCGGCACCCGCTCGGGCTGCGTGCGAGGCTGCGGACTGCTTCTACTGTCTTCCGGGCTCTCTCTCCCTAAGTCACACCACGACCCCTGCCCACGATCCTCCCAGCAGTGCCCGGCCAGGCCTCGGCCTCAGCTCTGCTAGGCGCGAGTTAGCAGGCACCTGCCCCGCGCTCGCCCATTGGCCGCCGCTCACCTGCCCCAAGGTGGGGGGCGGGGCGGGGCGGGGCGAAGGATGGCGGGTGGGGATGCGGTCCGCAGTCGGAGGCAAAAACCGGACTGGAACCTTTGGGCGACGATCTAGTGCCCCCCCACCTCCACCCCACCTAGCCACTTGGCTCTCCAGACTGGGCCTTTAGCTGAGCCTGGTCGCCACTGCAGCGGCCTTAGCACATGCCGGGTCCGAAGAGGACATCTGTAGGGCCTGAGCGCTAGGAGAAACTCCAACCCTCCTCCCTTCCTCCTGGGATGTCAGGTCAGTTCTTGGGGAACTCGGACCAGAGCTAGGATGGACATTTGGGGACCAGGGTCGATTCTCTGGGCAACCAGCTCCCGGGAGTTCTCCTGACCTGAGAGAACCCTCCGCTCAGCCACGAAGGTCTCCGGAGCCGAGTTCTGAAGCTGTGGCCTTGTTCCAGAGATTTTGCGTTTTCAGAATGTCACCAGGGAGGGGGGGATCGCATCGCAAAAGGGACGTGTGTTCTTTTCACAAGGCCAAGTTTGTTCTGCGCGGGAAGCTGCGGCGTCTGTCACCCCTCTGTTCTCCAGCAGCAGTTCACCACACTCGAAAGCCGTGGGTTTGTTGGGCCACGAGCGCAGACTGGCTCTCACCGGACAGCCGGCCTCAAAGCACATGGCAGTCCGTTTTCTTTCGGGTTTAAGTGTTCGCTGCCAGGCCAGGCTGGAGTCTTGGGTCATTGTGTCCTAAATTAGAGCTGGTCATGCAGCTCAAGTTGGCTCCCAAGAGGACAGGGCAGCCAGCCTTGAGTGGCAGCGGCCACCTGGCCTCCCCGACATTTACCTGCGACTGCGGGCATCTGCTCAGCACTCAGCGGGGGTGATAGGGCTATTGACAGGCAGAATCTGCACTCTGTAAACTTTTCCAGGCCCCCAAGGAAACACCGCGCGGAGGCCTAAGAGAGCTCTGGGTTGTGAGCTCCGGACCAGCCCCGTCCCTGTGCTTGGCGGAGAGAAGGACGCGAATTCTGCTTTCTGGTCGCTGCGGGGCTGGGTTCCAGAGGCCAGAGCACAGCCAGAGCGCGCAGGTACCAGCTGGGCCTCCGGTCGCAAAAAGCCAGGTGTCTCTGCACAACTCTGCGGGGACTCCAGGCCAGGTCTTGGCTGTGGCCGCCTGGGCGCCCGGAGCCGTGGTCCAGGAGAGTGCTCCGGGCGTCCTCGCAGCCACAAAGCGGGTTAAAGTCTATTTTCCACTTGACTGCTCCGAAAAGCCCCCGCACGCTGACGTTCCGGCCCCCTTGGGCGAGGTGGGAGGAAGGGGAGGGAGGAGGCTTGAAACGGAACCGCGCCCTGCAGTCCTTGGCGTCCTGGGCGACCCAGGACGGACACCTGGGTGACCCTGGCGCCCTGGTCTCTCACTAGCGTCTCTGGCTTCTCGGGATGGTCTCTTTCTCCTGTTCCCGGTCTCAGGCTAAATACCCGCCCCCCCCCCCCCATCAGTCCACACATCAACCTTATTCTCCTTCTGGTTTGCCACACCCTCTGTCTTGGAGAAGAGGCCAGCAGAGGTGGGGTGGGGGACGATCCAGCCATAACAGGAAAGTGGCGAAGTTTCGGAACTGGATGATGATAGGATTTTGTTGTAATAAGGTCCATGCAGAGATGCAGGTTCCATTGAATAAGATTGTCTAGGCCTACCACAGACCAAGTGCTGGGGTCTATGAGGAAGAAGGCCTCTGGGGATGAATCCCACCCCTTAAACTCCCATCTTCTACTCTCACAGTGAGGCTAGGCAGTGGCCAAGAACTCATTAGCCTGGACAGGTAAGAGACATTTGGACTGTCCCCACCATTCCCAGCTTTGAATTTAAATGGATCACACCTGTTCCCATGTTTATTTACACCCAAGTCATAGACCTTTTTCTAAATCACAGCTTCTCTGTGCTTTTGAAATACATTGACATCCAGCTATGGTTGTTTAACTGCTTTTCACAGATGATGAAGCAGAGTACACAGGAGCCTGACCTGAGTCTGGTTACAATCTGGGTTGAGCTGGGACAGCCCAGTGGTCCTGGCCTGGGCCAGGTTCTACCCCTGTCCCCATCTCTGGGACTGTAGGCTGCCCAGACTCATGTTCTTGGGGTCAGGTACTAAGGTATTCTGGGCAGCTGGAGAGTTTTGCCTCTCTCCCTCTTCTTTCCTTGATGCTTTCTCTCAACTTCTGTAATTCCTTAATTTCCTTCCGTCCAGGCTTTAATCCTTTGCCCAGTTTCCTCCTGTCAGTTCCCCTTAGGACCTCTTCCTTCTGGCTACTAACCTGCAGTAGGCCCAGAGAAGAATTTGTCACCTTCAGGGGGTCTCCAAGGCTATCACCCTCTTCTGGTTTCAGCATCAGCCCCACCCACCAGGTCTATTTGCAGGTCCTCTCCCCAGCTCTGCCCCTCCCCAACTCTGCCCCTCTTCAGTTTGCACACCTCTCCCTTTACCACCTTCCCCTTGCAGCTGATGCTATAACAAATACGTGCTCTCTTGACCTTCAGACAACTGCCTGCTTTATCCAAACCTGTCTCCCTCCCAATCCAAGCTGTTGAGCTCTGCAAGAGATGGGGGCCCATCACACACACCAGAGCTCCTACATCCCACACATCTGCCAAGCTGTTTGCCTTTCACTCCACATCTGCCCAGTCTTTCCCTCCCAGCCCACTGCCTCAATTTCTTTGGAGGAGTCTGTTGCTTACTCTGCTGATCTAACCTGGACCACCTGTGCTGGTTCTGGTCCTCTCCTCTCCCCTCCCCTGACTCCCCCACACCCCCATCTCTCAGATAACAGGAACCCAAAACCAGACTCTTTGTTTACTGGATCATGAGACTGGACCAAGGATCTTACCCCAGCTGCATATCTGTTAAATGGCAAGCACTCTAGAAGTCTGCAAGGATTAAATGAGGTAACATCATGTGCAGCACCAATACCTGACTACAAAGAATCCATGGGTAAAAGTTCTTGTTGCAGCCCTTCACATTGTGATAAACTAGGCAAGCATCTTCAGATCTTCCCTGCAGCTGCAAAGCTGTGGTGCAATCAATGTCTGTGGTGTAATATGTGGCCAGGCCAGGCATTTTCTCCATCAAAGAAAAGTTCGGGGCCAGTCTAGGATACAGGAAACTGCCAGGGGCAGGTGGGGGGGGGAGAGCATCCAACAGTATCCTCAGCAATATCTCTTCAGTTTTCATCTCCTTCCTTCCTCTCCAGCTTATCTCACCTTTACGTCTCTTCACCCTGAAAAAGATGTTCTGTCCTCATGTTTCCCTCTGCCTGCTGACTGCTCATCACTCAACTTATTTTTTTTTTCATTTGAGGCAAGGTCTTGTTATGTAGCCCTAGAACTCACTATGTAGACCAGGCTGCCCTCAAACCCAAAGAGATACTCCTGCCTGTCTCCTGAGTGCTGAGATTATAGGTGTGTGCCACCATGTCCAGCTGACCACCCAATTTGCCAAATAATTTTTAACCTCTGGCCAATTCTCTCACTTCCCCTCCACTCAAGTCTTTGCAAACAGATTTCTATCCCCACCACATTAGGAAAGTGATTTACAAAACTCCCAAATTTTCATTTCACAAGAGCAATATGTGCTTAAGATGATGTCAAGTGCAGCCTCCTGGAGTTATTGTGAGACTGAATGAGTTGCAGTCCCCACTTGGTGGACTTGGAGAAGTGCCCAGCACATAGTAAACCCTTGATAAATGTTAGCTGCTATTTCTTTGTAGAGATGTGCTGTCCGATAGATATGGGAGCCCAGAGCCACATATGCTAATTAGGTGGATAAAATATTGATGGCTCCAATTAATTGAGCTGTTCTGAATATGTAAATATGCACCATATTTGGACACACAGGGAAGAAGTCCCTCAATGTAAAAAATGTGCACCATATTTGATATTAGACATAATGTTTAAAATATAAAATATCTTTTTTTTTGGTCTTTTTAAGACAGGGTCTTCTTGTAGCCCAAGCTGGCCTGGAGCTTGCTATGTAGACTAGGATGGCCTTGAACTCACAAAGATTCACCTGCCTCTGCCTCCTAAGTGCTGGGATTAAAGGCGTGTACCACCACATCCAGCTCTTCACTTAATGTACTTAGAACATTTAAAATTATGTCTCACACTGCATTGCTATTGAACAGAGTTGTTGTAGAAATTAGATAAGAAATTTGTTTAAAGGTGTGATAAAAATGAGAACAGATTTTAAAAATTATTTATTTATTATTTATTTATATTTTTGGAGACAGTCTCATGTATTCTAGACTGGCCCCGAACTTATTGTGGAGTGAAGGATAACCTTGAACTTCTGATCCTCCTGCCTCCATTTTCCAGTGCTGAGATTACAGGCCTGTATCACCACACCCATCTGGAGATTTTGTTAGTATCAAATCTTTTCTTTTTAAATTTATGTGTATGAGTGTTTTGCATGCACGTATATAAGTGCACCCATGTTGTGCAATGTCCATAGAGGCTAGACGAGGGCGTTGGTTCCCCTGGAGCTGGAGTTACTGACAGTTGTTAGCTGCCATTTGGGTGCTTGGAACCAAACCTGGGTCCTCTGCTAAAGCAGCCAGTGCTCTTAACGGCTGAGTCAACTGTCCTGCCCCTAAGTATCAAATCTTATTATTAAGAAACAACTGGCTCTGCATGTAAAAGGT